CACCAAGCTAGTTTTGAGCAAAAAGATATGTGAACGTATTTTGCGACTGCTAGGTCAGCAGTTTCCACATAAAGCTAATGCTATCCATAGCCCAATAAAAGACCTTGTTAACAATTTTGGAAGGGCTTATTACACTGTGTTGTGTGCTATATTAACTCTTCTACATTTGCAAAGCAATTATATTTGCCTGAAAAAGTGAGAAGCAAAATATAAATACTTCAATGAGAATTTTAATAATTTAACTACAATTTTTTTAATTTTAGAAATCAGTGGCATCAGACTTATAATTATGAGTTCTTCTGTACTTACGACACATTTGCTGACAAAGATATACCCTTTTCAGGGGCAAGCGACCAGACAACAAAAGATACAGCAAATAAAAAACTAAACCCAGTGGCATTACATTCAGACTTTTGTAAGCTTCATTCTTGCATAGCCGTTCTCATCAACCTTAAGTTATGTAACCGGCTTTGATCATTCAGTAACCTGCATCCAATCTCTCCGAACAACAGTAACAGAGTAAATCTTTTGTGATTGCTATAGTTTGGGTTAAGGGTGAATGCGATAGTCACTTAAATGAGTATAATGGCATCAAAGTGCTCTTTTACTGACCTGTATGTTTTCAAGAGATGCAAGAGAAAAAAAAAAGTACGGACAGAAAATATAAAGGAAGAGTGAGATGAATACTTAAAAAAGTGGCCATAAGAAAAACTAAGGGAGAAATATTTTGGATCAAGTGCTGAACAGAATAAAAATAGGAGTGTGAGCAAAAATGCTGTCGCCTGTTGTCTGATTCTTGCTGCATTTAGAGAAATTAAATTTCGTGACTTCTTTGTAAAATATACAGCATTGCATAAAAGAAATAGAGGACCCCTGAAATGTCTCCTTACTGCGAAAACATATCTGAATCTGTTGTTTCAGCCAAAAACTCAGAAATGTTGCTGCTTCATCTTTTGACCTACTCATCCTACACACTGCTTTGAAAAATATTAGATAATAAAATAAGAAAAAAGAGAGGAAATGGCCATCTCAACAGAACACTAATGGCATTAGCTGTATCATGGACACCTGTTCTTACTTCAGGATTTTTTTTACACGTTCTCTCCAGAAATTCAGACCAAAGTACGCTAAAGAGGCTCCGAAAAGAGGATGTCTCTGTCCCACAAGCCTCCCCCAAAACAGTGAAGGAAGGGAAGTTTCAGAACCTATGACAGAAACAAACCTTTGAAAAATATAGACTTCTGTCAGGAGAGATATCCGAGGGTCACAGCTTCTTGTATCAAATTACTACTTCCCTCCAGCTGTCAAAGTGATTTATTTTTATAGTTTAATGACTTATCATTAAACTGCAATACTTTTATTCTTTATTTTATCTTTAGCTCTTCATATTTTGAATAGGAAAGTGAAGAAATCAAATAATTTAGGGAAATGAAATAAAGAGCAACACATTCCTACACTTGCAGAATCACCCAGGAAGACTGCTGAAGAGCTTGGCAATGCTACAACCTAAAAACATGCTCAAATAGAATCAGGAAATATTTTTCTTCCAAAATTCAACCAGAAAAAACAAACACCGCAGAAACCTTCTAGAGAGCTGCCTAAGATGCAGCAGCCCATCCCAGTAGCAACAGCAAAGAGTCCCACTGGAGAGGAAAGCCTCTCTTTCAGACTGTATCTTTGACAGTGGTCAGGGGACTGGTTTCTTCCGCGTGTCTCTAGCTATGCAAACCCATAGGCCTGCATACGGTTTTGTGCCACTCTAAGCACACCGTTGCTCAACAATATTTTTAGAGGATTTTTCCTTGTTTTTGAATGTAATCCCTACGGACATGGGGCATACACTTCTATTCACAAAAGAATTTACCTGTGTGCTTAGAGATTCCGCTCTTAGAAAATTCTTCTCTATATCAATATACTGAAAAGAGTTCGTTGTGGAGCGTGTTGTGGTTGGTAGAGCTGGAAACTCCATTTCTTTTTGGGAAAAAAAAGTGTTTTCTTTTGAAAATAATTCATTCTTTTCTGTGAAGGTCTCTGAAGGGTGTGGTGGTGTTCTTCAGAGTTTCAACATGTCTCAGAAATAGTTAGAAATAGGTTGCCCAGTAAGTGGAGATTAGTGCTCATATCCCTATTACTGGGTCACATATGGTCTAAATTGTAAGATTTGAAATAATCAGACATAACATGCTTTGAAAGTGTTCAGCTGACAAATTCTGTAATTATAATATAATTCACTCTAGAGTATTAAATATGTCGTAAGCTTGAACTGTGCCCCTCGAATGTTTGTTCTGCTTCAGAACCAGGCCAAACCCCGGAAGGGCAAGACAAACAAAAATGACAAAGGAGGTTAATAAGACCTTTTAAAATCTTAGAATAGTTTAATTAGATTTTAATTCTTATAAAAGCTAATATTTCATCCTGCTTTATCTTAGTAACCCTATATAAATTTCTCATAATTTTTATCTCTTCATCTCACTTTCTCAAAAAATTTCTGAGGTATGTGGTAACAAAATCAGAGAGAAAGGTTATACACAGACTGATCAGAAGTGCATGAGATAATGAAATTGTGTAGAGCCTCATAAATTTCTGAGGCTAAGACATTTTGCAAGGCCAGCCGATAATAACAGATGAATTAAACCCTGCTTCTACCTCAGAAGACATAATTTTTGATAGCCCCATTACTATAGTATTTTTACAAGAAGATCTCGCTGATATTTTCATTTTTCAAGTAATCTTTAACTTTCCTGCTCTTTACTCTGAGTTCTTGCCACACTGGGACTCTGACTTGTGACATTTGTTCAGGGGTCTTCATTTCTTCATTATATGAGCTCTTCAAATAAGGATAGAGTGCCTTTCTAAACGCTAGAGTTTCAGTTCAGACAGAATTTATAGGCTTAATATAGAAACACTAAGCAAAATTCTTTGATCTGTATTATTGTCTTAAAACATTTATAGATCTATAAACAAACCATATCTATTCATCATGACAATAAAGATAATCATCATAGGGTTAAATCCCACAGATCCCATGAGAAGTTTAGGAACAATTAAATACAGAAGCTGCTTTCTTTACTCCCTCATAGGAGAGATGGGAAATAGAATGAATAAAAGGAAGACTGAGGAATAGGAGTAGGTATGGGACTCCTCACATGACTAGTTGCTTCTCAGTGTGAGTTAGGGCCGCAGAATTTGCCTTTTAATTTTATATACTAGCAGCGCAGAATGAAAAGATGTGATAGCATAATCCCTTTTTTTTTAGTAGAAATTAATACCAAATCTTTCATGCATAGATTACAAAGCACTTCAAAGACAAAGCCTTTATTCCCTTTGATAGGTAGGGAAACCAAAGGGCAGAACAGTGAAATGACTTACCAGAAATACAACCGAATCTTATCAGTCCCATAGATTAGCCTCTTCCTTAGGCTGGGATTGATGAAGGACTGAACAAGGAAAATGTTTTTTCGCAATAAACAGCAAGTCTTCTAACTACTGTGTTGTTATTCTTCTGTTTGCTGGTAAATAGCATCTGATCCTATTGTGATTTTGTGAGTTGTTTTGAAGTGTTATATATTCAGTTAAAGTGGCTACATAGCACTTGTGCGCATTTAGATACACGCGCTATTCTCCTTGAAATTTCTTTCCTGCCTTGATGCAGGTGTTACAGAGTAGGCAATTTACTACTTCAAAAAAAAAAAATTGAGTCTGCTACTTGTGTTATATTACAGTTTTAAACGTACACATTTCTTCAGGAAGTGCACAATCTAATCAGAAACAAATTTACTACCTTAATTTTACTACTAGGGGTGCATCAGGCAAATATAATAATAATAAAAAAAATGCAGGGGCTAGAAAAGGGGTAGAGATTGCTTCACAGTGCAACAGTTTTTTGGTCGCTAAAAGTACTGAGTTGTTGTTTATCAAGGAAAATCCTATGAAACAGAGTAAAAAGTCCAACATGGCGCATCTCTGGATGCTACCTTACAATTATGTATGGTAGTAAAAATTTTAAGAGCAGCCTACTGAAAAAGGTGATATCAACATAAGGTTTCCCCATTTTTATTTGTAAGCTTCAAGGAAAAATCTGTGAACCCAACATCAGAGGAGGCATAAGACTCAAATGTCCAGTACCTAGAGGAAGTAAAGAGGTTCCTTCAGGCAGACTTTCTTTTCCTCCTTTTTCCTCTACCCTTTGTCAGAGTCACTAGCCCAGAGAATCTACGCACTGAATAAGGGGTATTTAGACACTTTATTAGTCATATAGGGTAAACTTGGTCTTCTGCGTTTTCACATTTCCCTTAGTGAAAATAGGGCAGGATTATTAACTACTTTAAAAGAAAAATTCTGCCTCTGGCAGTTTCTGCAGTGGTAGAAGAAACATGTTCTAACCTCTCTACCGAACATGTCAGCACTTCCCCTGTGGGATCCCTTTTCACACTCACTAAAATAATATTGTAAAAAAACTCAGAGAAAAATTTTTGATCATCTTTTGTTCTGTTCTGTGGTTGCATACATATCAGTCTGATTTGTCCGACATATGCCATTGATCTGTTTATCCCCTAAAAATTTTCTTGTTTTCTTCAGAGGCTATGGCATGCCTACCCTGAACTAGCTGGGAGGCCACTGACTTTATTCCGGTCTTTAACCTTGCTGTGGGCTTAGCCAGCTCAAGCCTGGAAGACTGAGGTTATCTATGACAGTAACTC